AATAGGAGGTTTTACCTAACCGTTGTCGCTGTTGTCCCAAAATTCTACAGGAGATCAGACCATCGTCTCCTTCGTGCAAGATTCTATTCCTCGCGGAAACGAAAAAAAGCCACTAAATTCAAAAACCGAAGTCCCAGAACCACCACATGCTGGGACTTATTCAATTCATTAGTCGGCTGTTGGGAATATGCCGTTATCGTTAACATCGACGTGGAATACGATCGGCTCATTCAACATCTTCACGTTAGCGCTATGAAACCTGACAGTTCCAAAGTCACCAAGAGACGTCTGTCTCCAGAAACACTCGAGTTGATTCGCCAGCGTGGAATCGTACGAGCTGCAGGCAACCGCAAACTAACGTCCGAAATTGCAAAACAGTGCAGACAGGCGATAAAAAAGATCTTAGAGAGAGAAGAGCAGCAGTAATGGTCGAAGCTGCAGAGGTTGGGAAAAGCATTCGCGAAGCTCACAGATGCTTTGCCAATTACAAGACCAAGATGACTGCATTCCGACGCCCAGACGGAACAGTTACAGCGCCCAGAAAAACAATGGAGAAAATCATTCACGAATACTACTCAGATCTCTTCGATAGTCATGTCCACCTTCAGTTATATGAAATAAAGAAGGATGGATATGTTGTACCACCGGTTCTCCTTTCCGAAATCCGACATGCCATTTCGTCGGTGAAAAATCAAACAGCACCAGGTCATGACAGGATAAGATCAGAACACCTGAAGAACCTTCCGCCAGTCCTCGTAAAACGTAAAAGTGGCTCGGCTCTTCACACATTACCAGTCTGAATGCAAGGTCCCTACTCAGTGGAAGGTCAGCAAGACCGTGTTACTGTACAAGAAGGGTGACCTACACGATATCGCCAACTACCGCCCAATCTGCTTGCTGTATGTCGTCTACAAACTTTTCACTCGAGTCATCCTAAACAGTAATAACAGAACACTGGACGAAGGACAGCCATGTGAGCGAGCAGGATTTCGAAAAGGATTTAGTACCATGGACCACAACCACACGATAACAAGGCTCACTGAAGTATCGCCACAGTACAAAAGACCGCTCTGTCTCACTTTCATCGATTTACAGAAGGCCCTTGATTCAACTGAGATAGAAACAGTCATGGAAGCCCTTGATAGTCAAGGAGTCCCTACTCAGTACATAAAGATTTCTCGTAAACTGTATAAAAATTTCACTACCAAGATTTCACCCTTCTACAACGACATTAACGTTGACGTGAAAAAAGGAGTTAGACAAGGCGATACCATCTAGCCAAAATTGTTTGNTTTGCCGCCACCCTCCAGAACGTCATGCGAACATTGAAATGGGGTAATATGGGAGTGAAAATCGATGGTCGGCAGTTACATCATCATCGTTTTGCTGATGACATCGTCCGTATAACATCAAACATTAGCCAAGCGGAAGGCATGCTTGTCGACTTTGATAAAGCCTGTGGAAAGATTGGTCTTCGACTAAATCTCACAAAAAACGATGTCCGTGAGGAACACACTGCTATCGTATGCCCCATTCACGCTCAACGGAACGAATATCTCCGAATGCTGCAGTCATCTGTTTAGGTCGGGAAATCAATATGTTGAACAACTTAGCTCCAGAGCTGAGTAGAAGAAAACGAGCGGCTTGGGAAGCTTTTAAGAGCATCGACGATGTAGTGAAGAGAACAAAGAACACCCGACTCCGTGTCCGCCTTTTCGACTTTACGGTACTTCCTGCCCTAACGTATGCGCCAGAAAAATGGTCGCTGCGTAAGCAGGATGAAAACTCACTCGGCGTTATTGAACGCGCAAACGAAAGGACGATGCTAGGAGTATCCCGTTTCACACAAGTAAGGGAAGGAATCCGAAGCTCTGACCCGTGTCAACGATCAAAAATCAAAGATGCCTTTCTGTAAGCCAAACAGTCGAAGATAAGGTGGGCCGGACATGTAATGCGTATGAATGACGACCGATTGACAAGAGCCATTAGTGACTGGATTCATCGGGATGTTAAACGCACTGCAGGAAAACCACCAACTGGATAGTCAAAGTTTTTCACAAAGAGCTTTGAAGAAAGATGTAATGCTCGACGAGTCCCTAGAGCGAGCAGAACCCACTGGGCTGCTCTTGCACGCAACAGGGAAACATGGAAGATTTACTGGCGTTCGTTCGAGTCACTCGACGATCAACGAGACTACAGGTGATACAGGTGTTACGACGGCGTAGAACTCAATTCGGATTGTATACCAAAAGCGATAATGCTTGATAAAAGGTTGAAGAAATCTGAAGCATCAAAACCTTTGCCATAAGTAGTTTATTTGGAAGAAGGTTGCGGTGACTTTTTGATGATCGGTCGACGGAAACACTTTAGTTTATTGAATCCCATATAAATTACTACCAATTAAGCACCATCAGTATACGCCGACACGTTGGCCGAATAAAAACCATTTATTAACCTCGTTTAAGCCCAACAATTTAAGCCCCTATACCGACAGGTATTCTTTCTTTGATAAGCTTGTGGATGTCAGTGATCATCGAATGCCCCATTGAGGAAGAACCGACTGGACACGAAGATGCCAAATAGGGGTAAACAACTGTGGACCATCGACTCCGATTGTCGGCTTTCACGAAGGCGAAGAGGTCGACACGTTAGCCGAATAGAATTTCTTTATCAACCTTGTGTAAACTCAACAATTTCATGTTGACTTGTCATGCCGAGTTTAAAGGAAAGTCGGTTTTTGAAATACTACCAGTATATGCAAGTTGTGCTCTTCGGTTGAAAGGGACCATTTCGACTAAATGACGTTCGACCAGATGTGAATGAACGATGTACATACAACATTATAAAGGTTGGACAGATTTTGATGCAAAATTCTACATCACAGAGGATTTCACTGAACGTCTCATCAACCGATTCCCGCTTTTCAAAACATCTCGAGAAAAAGCTTCATGAATCATCTTCAATATTCAAGCCGCTTCACCAAATGCCCTTCACAAGACGTGTACGCTCCAGAAATATAGGGCACAACCCCGATCTATCACACAAAGTTTAATATGAATTAATTATATTAATATGTGAGAACAAGTAATTAAAACCGAAAGCGTTCATGCAGGTGGCCTTCCTGATGAATAATCCATTTAAAAATATAACCCTTTAATAAGAAGAGCGCACCTCTGCTTTATGTTTTACTTCCAGTTTCTCAACGATATCACCCATTCGCTCCAGTATTTCCTTCAGACTCTCGCTGTTCCGACGCTCATTCAGCAACTAGAATTGGAGTTTTGGAGCTTCTCGGTGTCAAGAAGAAATCAGCATATTTTCTCCTATTCTGAAACCTGTTTATCAAAAAAGGATTGTGCTTATTGGCTAGCAAACCTGCGCATAGCAAATTATGTACAGTGCCAGAACAGCTACAATGGATGCCACTACGAGCAATCGAAGATAAGATGATGTTGAAGAGTCGGTGGCGGAAATACCCTTAAAAATGTAGATGGACGATATTCTTCCTCAAAATAGTTTTGTAATCATCATATAATATTAAGCGCTTACTGTGGGATGCAAGCGTACCAAACGATCTCCCTGGTTCTGCTGTGTTATTTTCATGTAGCCATTAGCATCAAATAACTTTCATAGCTAGTTACCACCGACTGTGTGTGTGCACTAAGACCCTGAGTCTAAATGGCGGTCCGACAACTACCACAAAGGTCCAGATAGGCTTAGGTAAAAATACCCCGAGTAGCGATAAGAACAAAAGTGAAAACAGCAACACGGCGAATTCAAAAAAAACCAGCTAAATGGAGATCTTTCATAATGCTGAGATAATTGCAAAACTCCGGACCGAAAGTGTCTGCGGTGGGGAACGAACGCGCTATTGTCCTTTCTGGGGAGTAACGCGTTCACCACCACACTATGCGGGTCATTCGTTTCGTCTGTCCCTCAGATAGTTCTGTGGACTTAAATGGAGAACTGTTTGCATATACATGCCAGCTGTGAGCTAATACAATGCTCGAAAGCGAACGTAAACGTTGAAAAAGAGAAGTATTAAGCGATGAATGTCATGTACAGGATTTACTGAAGTGGCATACAATTAGCGCTCATACGCCATTTGTAAATAGGTAAAACAATTTTGATGAGCACTGGAAGTATGTACCTGAGGCCTCTTCACTTGTTCTGACAGCTCCAAATTCTGTTGGCGCAGCCGCTCAATTTCCCGCGCTTGCTGATTTTCCTGCAGAATATCCTATCTCTAATGAAATCCAACACTGATCTGGGGAAGCGACACACCCTGCTCTTAGATGAAATTAAGAAATTTTCAAGCATTCTGTTTCGCTCCAGTAGCTGTTGGATTTTCATCCCCTCTTCGTCATCACCTTCTGGCATTTTCTAAAGATCAAACAGTTTGAGTTTATTGATATCGAAGAATGCTGTTAACCTAGCCGGTTTACAACGTTGCCCCCATATCGTACGAACCAGGTTACTTCTCGTTTAAGAACATCTTAAGGATCACCTGTTTGCAGATTCTTGCAATTTCCTTGTCCATCGTACTTTTCTCGGAAAAGCAGGACTCTAAACAGGGAACCTCATGCGCTCAGGTGATCATAGATTTCAATTTTTAGTTTTATTCTATGGGATCAGATCCGTAAGAAATTAATCTGCAAACACCTGACTTTATTCAAATTCTAGTGTCGCTCAGATATTCCTTTATTCTGGAAGTATTATACACTGCTTATTCCTAATAGGAAATTACAAGTATGGAAGAATGCTAAGAGGAAGCACCTGTCATTAAAGATGCGGAGTGAGACATAGAAATGAACCCGCCATTCAACGATGTTGACGTTGACCTTACATTCGAGTCGTCACTGAAAACGCACTCTTACACACTACAAAAATAGCGTCATAGTTCATCTTCACACCAATTAGATACTAACAGAGACAATTCTTGGTCATCACGGAGGCATTCGGAAAATGGCGGCGGCATGGACAAGGAATCGGATGGCGACTGCTTTTGATTTTGGGTCGAATCGTCATCGGAGTCGCTTCCTGAAAAAAAGGGTCACAGCAAAGATCTGAATGGTTCTCAGTCCAATTTGAAGCATTCCCTTTCTTAGATTATTCTTAACGGATTTCAAGAAGAATTATAACAGCATATAAGCCAAAATGAGTGCAACGGTTGATGGACGCATATCAACTGGTGTAGTGAAGTTTCTCTAATGTTCCAACCTTTCTTCTCTGACAAGAGAAACAAGATAGCGAATAAAAGCTAGACACTATTATCAGATTTCAGTTTACGTGAAGGTAATTCGCCCATACAAAAGCTATTAAAGCATACATTTAGATTTATTTTTCATTTAGATTAAAGCATACATTTAGATTCGCTGAAAGGGGTGTTATGCACTGGTTGAAGGAGCTCTGCAACCACAAAGTCGTTGGTTCGATACCGTCTACCGGACAAACTACACAACATATTCTTCCGGGACTGGCACCCACAATTCATTTTATAGACCAAATATACGTTCAATTACCATACTATGCTTACATGAATTTTACCGCTTGACAAGTCACTAAGGAATTGAGAAATACCGAAATTTTGGCTATCCTTTCTTTGTGGGAAACTCTAACTGTCGTCAAGAATTTGCAAGAGATGGCACCGGATCCTTCAATGAAGGGGCCGTTCTCGGTCCCGCCGTCATGCACGATTTAACGAAATGAGCAATAGATCTCTAAAGATCAGGTCATCAAATTCGTAGTTTCAAAGCGACGAGACGAAGATGAACATTGAACGATATAGTCATTGAATTTGGTACACATGACATACGTGCACCACGGATCTCCCTCATATGAGGGATGTCGAGCCGGTTAGTCGCGAGGCTACATGGCGGGTTCCCAGGTGGCAGAAAAGGTTAACCACGGACCAAAAGCGAGCTTTGCTTCCCTGAGACGCAGGTGGATCCAGTGGATGGACTCCCTCTTTCTGTTGTGCCGATTTGGCACATGTCTGTTTTAATTGATTATCCGCCTGTACTGGACATCCTCGTCCTCAAGTGGAAGATAATCATAGTATTCGCTACCGCATTTTGGTTGGCACTGCGAAATACGCACTGCAGAAAATCATTGGGCACAGTATGCGACCTTTCCTCCCTGACACGCAGCTGGATCAAGGAAATAGACTCCATGTTTCTGCTGTACAGATTCGGCACATACTTTCTGTACTTAAGAGGGTGTATTCATTCATGCGCATGTGGGTACGTTCTGGCTTATGCAGATTGTATTCCACGAGTCAATTCGGCCGAAAGCTTGCAATCAAGTGACAGGGAAGTATATAGGAGGCAGTTAAGAGTCGCCCCCAACAAATAAGCTCCATGTCTACTCTGGGAGACCCGTGAGTATACCCAGCCCCCACGTTCAGAGCCAAGCAAGCCATAGGTGGGTATCAAAATTCTAAACACACTAAAAAAACGGGGCTCATTCCCCTAACCCCGAAAGAGCACCTAATTTCGTAGCGTTGGGTAGGACGAGTACGGACAGGCTGCTAAAATCTCAGGGGCAAAGGAAGCTACCTGGATCACGAAGAACTATGATGACGATCTGCACCTACAATGCACGTACACCTGCATCCAAGTCCTCCACAGAAGACTTACTCATGCAGGCAAGAACGATAAAGTACGACGTCATCGGCCTGGCCGAGATGAGACGACGCCACCCATTCAACACGGTCTATGACACCAGAGAAAAACCGTTCCCCGGAACATGCGACAGTATAGGAGGCGGTGTCGGCATTCTCGTCAACACGAGTTTGTCCATGAGCATCGATTCATTCGAACAACCTGCAACCCGAATCGGACGTTTACGATTAAAAAGATGTGGATCAACACCGACTTCGACAATCTTCGTCGTTTACGCGTCGACATCAAGTTATGACGAAGAAGAAGTCGAAGCGTTCTAATATGGACTTAGAGAAGTTCTGCAGAAAA